CAAGTTATATACAGTATTAAAATATGGTTGTTAAACGAAAGAGTGCTAAGAAATATTTAGTTTGAACACAAAAATTTTGTTTGATGGTTTGAAGAGTTGCCAGCTGTTGAAAATTTTAAAATCAAATGAATTATAAAGTTATATAAATTATTAAAAGAGGGTATTCAATCGTTTATGAGTTTGGAAAAAATTTATATCTGACCTGTATTTAGGAGAGTTGCCAGGTGATAAAAAAAATTTAACTAAATTTAATTCATCAGTTAATTAAATAATGTATAACAGCATCAGACGGAAGAGGTTTAAAAAGATTTTAGTTTGAAAGTGTTTTCGCAGAGGGTTGCCTTCTGTCTAATTTATACACAATTTTAATGACATATTAAAATATGAGTGTCAAAATAAAGTTTTAAAAAACTTTAGTTTGAAAATATTTTATGTTAGAAGTGCCATCTATTAAATTTTTATTTTGAGCGCCAAGTTCGGTAATTGTGTTATCAGCCGTCTCGGCGATGTCAATTGGCCCCCCTCGCAGCCGCGATTTCACGCCGTTAAGGCTCTGTTATGCATACTTGGCATTGCCGTTAAGGCTCTGTTATCCATTCTTGTCACATAAGGAATCTGTTAAATGAGCTTCGCGTGAAAGCGGTTACCCAACGCACAGCATTCCATACGTAGAAGTCTGTTGGTTTTTGATTTCTACGTAAAAATGGTATAGCAGTGCATGCACTGCCGAGTATGCATAACAGAGCCTTTAGACTTTTTTGTGACATGCCGTGAAGGACCGATATTAGTTATGCGAACAATCTATTAACGATTCAGGCCCTTAAGGCGTATGTCGGGCTTGGAAAACTGGGTTGACAGGATGCGCTACTGCGCAGCCAGTCACATGATGAAATCGTGTTCCATAACTAATGGGAATAATTGTTCTCTCGAGTGAACCCATATAAAAAAAAAAATTGGTTAGAGTTACTGTTTTTAATTCATGATTTTATTGGTTAGGTTATCAGATCTTTTAGGTGAAGGTCATCAGATCATCCTTGTTTTTTTGAATATAGACTTAACTATATTCGGAAATTTATATACTTGATAAATCCACAAAAAACACAAAATTTCATAAAAATATAATCTTACAATGAATATTTTTAATTCTAAACTTAAATTTAGAAAACTCCATTCAGTTCTATAATTACGATTTGATTTTTTTTTCAGTTTATAGAAACACAAGCGTTAATTATGTACTTAACTATTGATATTATACTTAGGGCCGGTTGTTCAATGTCTGATTAGCACTAATCGGAGGTAGAAGCTCCGGTTTAATACAACGACGTCGATAATGATGTTTAACCGGCAAGTAGTGATAACCAGACATTGAAAAACCGGCCCGCCCTTAACCTACATTTTGTTCATAAATAACACCTAATTACGAAAAACTGTTTCTAATCATGAAGCGAAATTCCCCACAGTAAGTGTTGAACGTCGATAGTGCTGTTTTACTGGTAGGTAGTGATAAGCAGACCTTGAACAACCGGCTCTTAGACCGCTGATTTTTAATTTGCATGGTTAACCTCGCATTTCACCTACTGCATATGTTAAGCAAATCCACATCCCTTTTATTTATTTAAAATATTTTTATTTAGGGGTATTAATATGTGTCTTTCACTTTACTATTTAATTGTCTTTATATTCCATCTCCTCCATGACGACTTTCATCATATTCATACGTGTTTGCAATTTTCGATCCAAATTCACACGCCGCAAGTATGGCAAAAGACTGATCACAAAATGGTAGTCATCATCTTTTTGTTGCATGCCTCGCTTAGCTTTTATTTTCTTATTCTTCTTTTTCTTTAAGCATTTAATATAGCTGTCTTCATTCTCTATTTGGCCCTCTTTTACTTCTACATCCACAGGTGGACGTTTACACTGTTCGATTCTTTCACTGGCCTGACTTGTTGAAGCCTCTGGGCTGTCTTTAGCCTGTTTACCATCACAATTTTCTGTTTGGTTTTCTATTTTAAAATGATATAGACTATTAGCTTAAAATAATTGTTGATATTTATTGTGGTTAAATAATTACCTTTGTAGCATTTTGGCATTTCGCAATCGTTTGTTAAATCTACTTCTTCAGGTCCGTAAGTAGATGTTTCCTTGGCTTCTCCATTCTTTTTGGGATCCGATTCTCCATGGTCTATATTTATGGCACACTGTTGTTGTTGTTGTTGCTGTTGTTGTTGTTGTTGTTGTTGTTGTTGTTGTTGTTGTTGTTGTTGTAGCGGCTCGTCTCCTTCGCTTGCATTACGTTTAGAAATCTGCGATACCGCATTAATTTTTTCGATTTCATCGCATTCCTCATTTTCCACACGGCACCGCTTTCTTGGCATAGGAGTACTATTGGTAGGCGGAATATGAACCATGTTGTTGTTGCTGCTGTTGCTAAGAATCATAATTTGGTGCGGCGTTACACTTATCATTTCTTCCAACCCCTGGGTTGTTGGCTTAAATTAAGTATATAAAAGTTAAACGAAAATGTTACTTTAGGCAGTTAGCAGGCTGCGAAGTTAAGGAGGGATAAATAGGTCTTCCTAATTAAAGCCATTCTAAGAGGCATACCCAAAAAGGGCTGAAAAAAGTGCTTCCTTGCATGCTTTCTAGAAGGGCTTATCCATTTACAATTTATGCGAATGCATAAATTTATTTTTTTTTTAGCATTACAAATATCTGTTACATACAACATATATTTGTTATAAACCTTAAGCAAATACTTCAAAGATGTATGATTTTTATAAATTAAAGAAGAAACCTTAAAAGAACTCCTCCAAAAGGCCTTCTGAAGTACGGCCTATAAAGGCCCTTCTGGAAGGCCTTCCATGGGTAGCGAAAGAAGAAGCCCTTCAATTTGTGTCTTCTTCTTCTTTTTTGGCGTTGTAACCGCCTAAGCGATTTTGGCCGAATTCAGCAAAGCACGCCAGTCGTTTCTCCTCTATGCCAACTGACGCCAAGTGAAGCCAAGTCCTTCTCCACCTGATCTTTCCATCGCAGTGGGGGCCTCCCTCTTCCTCTGCTACCACGAGCGGGTTCCGAGTTGAATACTTTCAGAGCTGGACCGTCGGTGTCCATTCGAACGACATGACCAAGCCAGCGGTTTTGTGTCACTCCATACAAAAGGAAAGGAGAAAGGGGTGTAGAGTGGAAGGCCTCTTGACTCTCAGGAAGGCCATTAGGTAGGGTTTTTAACTCCTGAAATTATCTACTGGGAACCAACTAATTTTTTAAGAAAAAAATACAACCGATTTCAATACTCATATAAAAATTTAGGAGTACCGTTAGATTACGCATGATCCAATAATCGAAACCTAACCAAATGCGTATGGAACCGTCCTTGTGGTACTACCTTTCCTATAAAATAATAATGGGAAACGGTTGAAGGTTTTTCAAAGTTATCCGGTAGCACACATAAAAAAAATTTACAACGTATTGATAACGTCCTCCTTTTTTAAGTCGGTAATAAAACTTTGCGTTCCCCAACTCGCCACAAGTTACAAGAATTTACCAAAAAGCATTGCCGCACTCGGTACTCTTACGAAATAGGGGAAAAATGCGAGAGTAAAACAAGTCCTCTCTTTGCCAGAAGATGCAAGGTTTTACCCGAAGAAGTTTTACTGTTCATCGAGCAAAAAATTTGTACGAACTTCATGACGAATGATGATGACTTTTTTTTCCAAATAAAAAAAAAAAATTATCCACCACTCAAAAACTGAGAGCGAAAAGTGACAGTTCTCTTGCCAGCAACAATTTGCAGTAACGAAAGAAATGACTGCGACACATGGTTGCATTTTCGTCGACGATATTTTGAATAAACAAGTTCGTTAAATTTAAAAATTTACAAACATGAGCGATTTTTTATGAAAAATTTAAGTAAATACTTTTTAATATAATTAATTATGTTAATTCCAATGATTTGAAATTTACTCGGCTGAAAAAAAATTTTATGTAATCGGAATGCAATCGCAACCAAAGTCGATTTAGAAAACCCGACAGTTAGTGCGATAAAGAAATTGGAACGTACATATTGTTGGCTTAGTGCGCAAAGGTGCTAAGTCCATTTTTTGTTTAATTTTTCAGGAGGGACAAAAACCGTCTAACTTATTTTGTTGTTAATATTTTCCTAATCTGTAAATGCAGTTTTCTCCCTTAGTTCGTCTTGTTTTAGTACCAATAATCGGCTAATTTCAATATAAAGCTGTTGCAGACTTAGGGGCTCTTTTGGGACTCACCACATTTTCTCTTTATGATTTTGTTCTTTTAATGTGGACTTAGCACATTTTCGGTCAACCTGTTTTTCATTATTTTTTATTGTTAAAATATTTAGTTGTTTATTTTAAATATATTATAATTAGTGTTGGGAAGTATCGAGTACTTTTGAGGATCGAGTTCTCTGGTATCGATACTTTTAAGGATCGGGTATTTTTCAGAGTACTGAGTATTTTCTTCAAATATACACATGTTGGTAACATTTCAATAATTAGTGTAGAAATCTCACAAGCTGGCAGTATTTCATTTAAATTAATATATGAACCCCAATTACGTCAAATGGCTTACTGTACTGGGTACAAGTATTGTACTTGAAAATTATTGAAACTGCAAATTGAGTAATTTTCAATAATTTGCATCCAATATTTACTGAAATATCGAAGTTCTTGCATTTTTCGAAAATACCTTTATATGGGATGTGGGCGTGGTTACAGTCCGATTTCACCTTGGATAAAGGGTAACCTACATTTTAAACAGACGTCCCAGTAGATAATTTCAGGAGTTAAAAGCCCTTCCGAAAGGCCTTCCTGAGAGTTAAGAGGCCTTCCACTCTACATTCCTTTCTCCTTTCTTTTTTATATGGAGTGGCACAAATTGAAGGGCTTCTTCTTTCGCTACCCATGAAAGACCTTCCAGAAGGGCTTTTATAGGACGTACTTCACAAGGCCTTTTGAAGGAGTTCTTTTAAAGTTTCTTCTTTAATTTATAAAAATCATACATCGTTAAAGTATTTGCATAAGGTTTATATCAAATATGTTATTGCCACTTAAAATGTTTATTAAAATTCGTTCGTGCCAAATAATACAAATTTATGCATTCGTGTAAATTGTAATTGGATAAGCCCTTCTAGAAAGCATGCAAGGAAGCATTTTTTTCAGCCCTTCTTAGGTAGGCCTCACAGGCTTTACTTAAGAAGGCCTACCTAAATTATCTTCTGGGACGTGTTTATATTTTTTTTCTTGATTTTTCTTTTGGACTTATTGGACAATTTTTGTTTTTGACAGTTTTACCAGTTTTCAAGAACAGTTGAGGAACGAAAAGGTATTTCTCACAATTTAAAAAAAAATTTATATATATATTTAAAAAAAGAGACAGTCATTATTTTTTTCTGTTCATGGGTAGTAAAAACAGAAAACC